TTCACTTTTTTTCGCTGTTTTTTGTCTCTTCGGGCTGATCCGTGTCGATCAAAATAAACAATTCTATTGGCTTTAGGGCACGTGATGGACACGGCTTTAGACGACCCCATTTGTTATGAGAAAATTCCTAAACATAGGTAAAAAATCATAAAAAATGATTCAAGATTCGTTGAATAAACTCTCGACCAAGTGTTTGTTAAACGGATTTATTAAATTATGTATTTGAATTTTGGCATTTCATTATAGGCTTTGTTATGCAGGTTCGATTGGTTCTAGTTTTTAATGCATACGCAATAAATAACTGCACGATCGCATTCCTCCGAGAAAGTTACACCGTATTTCTGTTTATTCAACACCATTTCTCTGTATACCAACTCTTTCTAACTCAAATCTTTGCTTATAATGAAACGTTCAAGGTTTGATACTGTTAGCTTTAAAAAACACATACCTTTACATAAACTCGACGATTTCGATTTTACCGGTTCTGAGGTGATCGGTCAAGGAGGATTTGGAGTTGTGGTTAAATCAAAATGGAAATCAAAATGGAATGCTTTTGAAAAATCAGTTGCAATCAAGGAAAACGAGGATAAAGAAATTATTAGAAATGAGGTAAATAATCTTTGTTACGATATTTTGCGAGTATAATGATACTAACAAACGCTTGTATAATCAGCTAAAAACCTTGTACATGGTTTGTGAGCATCGAAATATTGTGGGATTTCACGGAATTATCAAAACTTCAAACGGAGTTTATAGTATGGTTTTGCAGTTTGCAAATAACGGAAATCTACAAGAATATTTACGCCTTCACTTTTCAGAACTCAAATGGGCTGAAAAGTTGCGTATGGCTATCGAGATAACAGATGGTCTTGCGTTCATACATCAAAGACACATCGTTCACCGAGATCTTCACACGAAAAACATTCTGGTTAATAATGGAAGGATGCTTATCGCAGATTTTGGTCTATCTTTTGGTCTATCAAAACGAAGAGGTGAAAATGGAAGGACGCTTATCGCAGATTTTGGTCTATCAAAACGAAGAGGCGAAACAACTGATAGTTGCTGCGGAGTGCCGGAATACATGGATCCTAGATGTTTTAATTGTTTTGATAATCCTCCCGGATATGACCAAAAATCTGACATGTATAGCCTCGGCATGATCCTCTGGGAGATCTCGAGCTGCAGACCACCATTCCAACAATTCCAACATTTGGACAAAATGGCCGTTATATTACATATATTAAATGGAAATAAAGAAATACCTGTGGAAGATACACCATCCCAATATGTTCAACTCTACCAAGATTGCTGGGGTGACCTCAAAAACCGTCCTAATGCCAAATCAGCCCTCAAGAAGATCCTATGCATTATTTCTAATCAATCAAAACGTGTGCAACATGCAGATCACGTCGATCTGTATGTTATACACATTTTTTTTTATCAAAAAGGGAGCTGCTGGGTAACAAACGTAAATTATTGAAACTTACGTAAGTTATAATTTTTTTTTAAAAAAAAATTAATTATACTATAAATGCATTAATAACTGTAATTAGGGTTAAAAATTATATTTTATAATTTTATAATTTTCAGTAACATGGTTTTCATATAAATTTTACATGCAATATATAGTACTAGCACAATGAAAAACTTAGCTAGCATTATTAAACTTAAATAAGATTCTGTAATTTTACAAACGATCAAATGATCTAACATAATACGATTGGCAACTAATTATGCAATCATGATCGAGCCAAAATTGATTAAAACATGCATAAAATCCAAACAACCGAAAGCCTACTGCATATATTCAAAAAAATTTACAATTAAAACATTCATGTTTCAGAATGACGAGATTGAAGAAGCGAATTAGAGAACGTTGTGATAAAAAAAAAAAGTATTAATAAGATAGTGTCATAGGTAAAACCTGCCCCGAATAATAATCAAAATAATGGCCCTGTAATTCATGGGCTGAAATTCGTCTGATTGGCTGATTTTATGTAGATCATTTGCAAATCATTTCTTGATAATCGTAATTTGATTGGTTGATCCTAAAAATTATTAGCGTTAATAATTTATTCGATAACAATAACGATTAGCGAATTGTTACGTATTGGGACCTTGATTGAGTATACATGAGTTTTTATTTAATATGCATTTCGATTAGATCGTTATTATATAATAATTGTTCAATGTAATCATAATTAAATAAATTTTTTTACTCGGGATTTTTTCATTGGAATTGAAAATTTATTACGCTTTAAATTAATAAATTTAATAAATAAAATATTTATTATAATGTTATAAATTGCACCGTTTAGAATCATCAAAAAATTTTAAACCTTAATATAATAAATAAACATCAAAAATTTTAAAAAAAAAAAAACTACTACAGCAATTAACCTCAGCAACTTATAATCGAAGAAACCGCCATATAGCATCGTCCCAAGAAGCTGAAATACCATCTGCTGATTCTTTCGTATCATCGTCATCTTCAGAAGTAGAATTAGAATCTTCATGTTCGACGATATTATGTGAATTAAGTTGGCTTAGGCTGTCCAAAAGTGATCGAACATGCATATCGACGCCACTCTTAATGTGATCTAAGCAATGCAAGCACTTGCATCCGCTTTGTCTAAAACATGTGTCATGATATGCATGACCACATGGTAATACCCAACCTGTTTCTTCAGTAAGATCATTAGTAATTAAACAATCTGAAAAATCACAACCAGACAAATTAGGTTTACACAAAGAACTATATCCTAGAGGTAGATGACAAAGCCACGCTTCCTTCATTTTCATTGCCGGAATGGGAATGCTATTTTCCGCGATGGTATTTTCTTCTTTTTTGCTTCTTTTTAGCGGAGGTTTCTTAGCGACCTGTGGTGGAATTACAAATTGGATTTTTTCACGTTTAATACGAATATAAATATCAGAAAAACATTCTAACAGAAAACACGCTGTTTTCTGTGTTAATGTTTCAATATTTCGAGAAGAATATGGGTAAACCGCCCAGGATGAATTATGCACGAAATTTTCTTTAAAACCGTCATCATCAAACCGTAAATAGTTAATCTGCTGCGCCTCTCTTATGATTTGGTCTCCTGTAAGAAATTTTTCTGTATTGCGATATAAAAGACTGTGAAAATTTTCTATAGGCGTATCAGAAAATTTCGGTAATTCGGAACTCATCGTGTCTAAAATCGAATGGTTTTTTGAATGCCAATAAAAAATGTCTGAGAGAAACATTAAAGGTGCCTTGGTGTAATTTTTACGATGAAACCTAAAAAAAAGAACCCAAACTCGAAAGCAAGATTCAATGTATAAGTGAAAATCGCCAGAACGAAAAAAAGAAGCATAAATATCAAGAACCAACGGAATTGTATTATCCAACAGGTTCTTAAGCGTTATATATTCTGCATCTTTGCATACAAAACCGAATTTTATTTCAACCATCTTTGCAATTTCTTGCCATACGCTACGTAAAAGTTCTAGTAATAAATTTATATGCCACGGCTTTGGCTTTTGGGCAAGCTTCTTTTTTTTTCCAAAAACGTAGGTATACATTTCGGCAAAAAATGGTTGATATTGCAGAAAAACTAATTCACGGCTATTCAGCGAGACATGCAGAGGACCTAACATTGGAAGAATTGATAAAATTTTATTAGTAATTCCGGAAGAGCTATCATGAACGAGATATCGTGAAATAGCTGTTCTTAAAAATATTTGACCCGGCCAGTCAGCAACGACTAGAATAACGTTTCCTTCTTCAACATGTTTGTTTATCGCTGGAGTAGATATGGCGGCATTAACGGCATTAATATAATCTTCTACGGAATGAAGACGATTTTTCAACAGATCCACAAGTATAGCATCTTTTATCGACCTTGTTCCTCTTTTTTCTTTCAAACGAATATCATAACTATGGACCGTTAATTCTTCAAGCTTTTTTTCATCAGTCACGAAACGAAATCCCCAACGTTGGTTATGAGAAAATGAATATGCTGACATAAAATGATTTTCAATTTCAGTCTTGATTAACGAGGCATCAACCAAAGCG